TAGATAGATAGATAGATAGATAGATAGATAGATAGATAGATACACTATATTGCCAAAAGTATTTGCTCACCTGCCTTGACTCACATATGAGCTTAAGTGACATCCCGTTCCTAATCCATAGGGTTCAATATGACGTCTGGACAGCCTTCCCAGAAGAGTTGAAGCTGTTCTAGCTGCAAAGGGTGGACCGACGTCATATTGAACCCTATGGATTAGGAACGGGATGTCACTTAAGCTCATATGTGAGTCAAGGCAGGTGAGCAAATACTTTTGGCAATATAGTGTAGATAGATAGATAGATAGATAGATAGATAGATAGATAGATAGAATGTCGCTAATATTTTTAATTGAAACAGCAAAAACTTGGATACAAAGTCCAGTGGATATTCTTGTTTTTTTTACTTTTTAATTTAAATTGGCTTGATTTGATTCTGTTTTTAAATGTGTACCTTTAAGGTTTCGACTATCTTGTGTTTGGTTTTTATTTTGGTGATTTTATATTTTTCTGTGACTTAAATCATGAGAAATTAGTTTTCTTTAAGTAGGCTAGCACTTAAATTGACATTCGTTTAGGCTTTAGAGTCGAACTTGCCACTCACAATATGGCCAACGTCTTCCTCGAATGAAGCTAAACTGGTGTGACTGCGCCCTCTGCCGGAGGTTCCGTTATCCCCACCGGAAGCAGCGTGGTTCTACTAGTAACGTGCTTGTTTTCCCAGCAGTAACGGCTTTTCTTCCTTAATGTCTGCAACACATTTTCAATAAAACATGCCGGGCGGGTCGGAATTTAAAATTAACCCCAAGTTTGCACAGAAATATGATAAATACCGACAGAAAGAGGAGCTGCAGAAACGTAAGTGTTGTGCTGATAGCTAACTAGGAGGCTAACCAACCAACGTGGGTCAAAGTATACTAGGATAGAGTTTACTTTTTTTTCCTAGGATTTTTTCTTAATAATTTATGTGTGTTTTTATACAGTAAAGGACCGTTTCGGAGACCGAGGCGATGACAGCGACTCTAATTCATCTGAATCCAGCTCTGATGACAGTGAAGTGGTTAGCATCTGTAGCTAAACGCCATCGTTGAACGTGTCCTTTTCTAGATGCCTCACTGTTAACTGTGTTCCCACAGGAGTTGGACCCTGCTGTGGAGAGGGACTTTTACCGAACCCTGTCCCTGCTGAAGAAGAGAGACCCGAAGATCTATGAGAAAGATGCCAAGTTTTACTCAGAAGGTGATTGACAGCGACCAGCAGGCTCTGTGATCTTCTACACTGTGGGCTCATATGTTCTCTGCTTTTAGATGCATCCCAAGATGAGGAAACTCCCTCCACATCCAAACAAGCCAGAGTGAAGCCCATGTATCTGAAGGACTATGAGCGGAAAGTCATTCTGGAAAAAGAGGGGTGAGTGCATCACACCCAGGTACCAGGGGCTTTGGCTTCAAAGTGCATTTTGAATAAAATAACATGAAATATTCAGGAAAATATTTTTCTTATCTCAGAAAATAATGTGTAAGTGTGTTGACCGTATATTAAGGTGACCAGATTTCTAAAATCCAATCCAGGGACATTTCCCTCTTGTTGATAAATATAAATGCATATACATCCGAATAGGAAATGGGGACAATGATGCTTTCATCCATTTCTACATATTTATTAATATTTAAACAACAAAAATCAAGTGTGAAATCAAGGAATGTGACTCTCCTATTCCTATTAATGAATCAATCTATAGTGTTTATTGGTCCAATCTGGTCACTCAGTCTTCNCTCCTATTCCTATTAATGAATCAATCTATAGTGTTTATTGGTCCAATCTGGTCACTCAGTCTTCTCTCTCTTATTCCTGCTCCATCTTCTTTTTCTTTGCTCTGTTTTATTCTTCTAATAAGATTTTTCTTCCTTCGTTTTAACTATTCTTTCCATCAGTTTTCCTATTTTCCTCCACTCTCATTCATCAGTCTTCTAATGTTCTTCCTCTCCTCTTCTATCAGTCTTACTCTAATTTAAAACAGAGACATAATACAATCAAAATCCTTTCCAAACACATACATCTCATCATAATTATTAATATCGTTATGATGGTGATTATCATTATTATTGTTATTATTATCTCACCTGATTAAATACTAAAAAGGATAATCACTACAGTATTTGGAGCTACAAATAAAAACATGATAAATGAGCATTAAACTGGTGGTCATCTCTTCCTCCATCATTCTCAGATCACACAGATCTTGTCTCATTCAATTTTACTTTTACTGTTTCTTATTTTTTATAGTGAGCAACTTTCATATATCCAAACTGAGAGGTAGAAAAGTAGATCTAAGTAACGTATAACTCTTGTTGCTATTACTATCTGAAGATATAAAATAAAGGTCACCGATCTGTTCTAAAAACCTCTAGGCGAAACCTTGTTGATCCCTGGAGAACCACTGTACCAGATTAGAGCCTTACAAGGAATTTTCTATTATTCTCTTTAATTTTATCTGAGGCAGTTTCTCAATTGGCTCGAACACAAGTACGAGAAGAACACAGGAAAGTCTGGACCCTTGAGAACGGGAGCACGCAGCATAAATCTGGGTCAATTAGAACAGAAGCGTACCTGTGACATCACCACACGCTCAGCTCGTCTACAACTGCATTTCACCTCCTGTTATTAATAGTCTATAGATAATAATAACTTCTTACTTTTTTCAATTGATGGGGGAATAATAATTAAAACAGTCAAATGAACATTTAGCCAAATAAAACAGAGAAATCGCCATCAAAGCAAGCGGTGCTTCAGACATGGCTATACTCAGAGCACGCTGCTGCAGACGGGTTTAGGATTATACCTGGCTGCCGTTAGCCTCGGAGGTCCGCTGGTTGCCGCGGTCCTCTCAGCTTCAGACTTTTTTTATTTTAAATTACGCATTAAATGGGTCATATAGTGATGCTTAAAAGTATAATGTTCTTGCCTCAAGTTATCTTAAAACATACTTTTATTGAACAACAGCAACAGAACATGTGAACGGAGCACCGTGCAGTTCCCACTCAGGAGGATGTCCGCTCATTGGCTCCACTGCTCAAAGTTCCGCCACGATGCGCCGCTCAAAATCAAAATCTGCTCCGCGTTCACCTTAGTCTTGCTGCCGCTCTGGCGAAATCACTCCACGCTTGTTTACATTTTTTAGGAGAAGACATTTTCTGACATTTTTCCCTCATGTAATTATGCCAAGGCCCTGTGACACACACCGTGTTTGATTTATTGATGTGACCGATAAATGTGTACTGTCTTATTTAACTGGCTGTTAAATTATTGCACTTTTTCCAGCTTTTCTGCCGCTCCGCTCACATACTCATTCATTTTTTATGCTTTTCCACATTACGGTTAGATGCTCTGTGATGCTCCTGAAGGGCGTCCAGTAAAGTGTCCCCAGATGCAACTAATGTTTCTGTTGCTTCTGTGTTCAATGGCAGAGAGCGGCGCATCTATATTTGCTGTGATCAGTTTTAATATGTTTTTAAGTGATAAATTGAAATATAAACATTTCTGCAGCTTATAAGATTTTGGCCTGAAATAGTTTACCAAATCACCAAGTAATGTTTTTTCAGACCCATAATCCACCACCTTCCTTACACCATAAACAGTGTTTTAGAAAGACTGTGGAAAGAGGTGAAATGAAGAGATCAACTTGAACCCTGGATGATCTGGACAGATGGTGCAGCGAGGGAGTCAAAGATCTCTCGCTGCAGACTGAGTGGAGTTTTTTATACAAAATGGATCATAAAATGTCTTGACAGCAGAGGTAGAAGTAGGGCACTATAAAATACGTTTTATTTTTTCCCAAATTCCGTTTTTTCCGTTTGAATTTTTGCAAATTCAGTGTTTTTTACCCTTTACTGTTATTTCAGTCGTAAAAAGAATNCGTTTTATTTTTTCCCAAATTCCGTTTTTTCCGTTTGAATTTTTGCAAATTCAGTGTTTTTTACCCTTTACTGTTATTTCAGTCGTAAAAAGAATGTGCTTTTAATGTTAATGATTAAAAATGTACACAAATAAAATAGGAATGACCTTAAATTTATTGAGGTAAAAAAAAACAACACATTTACTCATTCCTTTTACTGCATGATGCAACATAACACTGCACTCTAAGTACTAACAAAATATTAATGGTTATAAATAAAAGTGCTCCATTAGCTTTTTCAAGTGAAAAAATAAAATAGGACCTCTCAATTTCAGAATTCTAAAGTATTTCATAAAGAATCATATTTTCCATACTGTACATTAAAGTGCATAAAAAACAAGGCAAAATACAGCACGTGCTCCTGAGTTATACAGTTAAAGTGGACTTTGTCATCATGTAGAAGAGAAAAACTTTTGAGCAAAAGCTTTTTCAACTTTTTCACTGAAAGCGGAGCTGTGGAGAGCTGCTTCGCCATTTTTTCAATGTTTTTATGGGGGAGGGTGAGCGGAAATGACGGAGCGGGAGGGGTTGTGTCCAGGGTTCCCGCGGGTCCTTAAAAAGTCTTAAAAGGTATTGAATTTTTCAAAATAAAACTAAGGCCTTAATTGGCATTAAAATGTCTTAAATTAGTCTTTCTTAGGTCTTAATTTTTAAAACATCATAAGTATGATTATTTTTATTGTAATCTAAATAAAACATTAAAAT